TTTTTTTTTTCTTTTTCTGTTTTTCTTTACAATTGTCCACATATGACTGAAGAGAACAGAAATGGTCAAAACAGACTAAGCCAGGACTCCTCAAATGTAGAAGACTCTCAGAGTCAGGATCCTGCAGTTGAGGGCCTGTCAGAGGCAACAAAAGGGAATAAACCATCTCCCAATGTAATTCTCAGTTTATTAATTATATCTACTATTTATTTTACACATTTATTAAACAGAATGGTAAGTTATCAAGATGTGTAGGAGATCTGATTATCGGTGTGTGTATTTTTTAAACAATGCTTTGACAAATTCTATCTTTATGGTTTCTATCACAAGATTGAGGTTCAGGTTGTGTATCACGTAGAGCTTCATGTGGACGTGAACAATATCCCACAGAGGTTTGAAAAATACAATGTCCTCTACTTCCTGAGAAACACCAGTGGTAGGTGGAGTGCTTTCAAAATGTGTGTGTGTTTAACATTTGTTTGCACATTTAATTGATATGTGGTGTTTTATTCTATCCAGAAACTATCACTGAACCTGCAGATATAAACGAGGCTAATAATTCGATGCCCAAACTTATTGAGTTTGGCATGATGAATGACCATCCCTTGATGATGCTTGGAGGGCTTTTCAACCATGTGCGTGACTAAACATCTCATCCCCATATACATGAATTATTATTAATTATGCTATGGAAGTGTGTATCTTTATTGAATGCTTTCTTTGCAGGTGTACATCCCTCTTCTCTCGGTGAATCAGCTGAGGCTCACTGATGGTGGCTATCATGGTGTTGCTGGCTCTCAAGAGAGTGACGCAGTGTGTAAGACAACAGGAGATGAGAAACAGCCGCCTGCAGAATCCCGTGGGGCTTTTGAAGTCCGAGATGATCTGCTCCACAGCACACATAAATTCTTGCAGGTCATAAACCAAACCCTACAGCAGCTTGAAGGTATTATATTTTCACTTTCAGAGTCAGAAAAATGTATACTATATATACACATACACATAAACATTACTATTAAACAGTTTGGGTTCTTTTTTTTT